AAAAAATATTGTCGGCTGATGTTTTGGTAAGCCAATAGTTTTCTAGTCGAAATTTCAAGCAGTATGGCACTGTTTCACAATAGTGTTGTGAATGCATTTTGCTTCGTGACCTTTCAGAAAATTGAATATAATCTGTTTTTTGGGTGCATGTGGATTTCGCCGCCGTAATGAAGTTCCTTAGATTATTGTTGAGTATAAATATGGAGATATCGATTTGATTAGATGTATTTGTGGCAAAAATGTTCATTCGATCCCCCATACAATTATGCACAACAAGATTGACGCTAATATCAACACATACATTCATCCATTCTTTTGACACATTGGATACTAGCTGTTTTGAATACTGTAAAACAGTATAAAATATCAAAAGGCCGAATATACAGTCGAAGGTCCAGCGAGTCACACGAACGAGCGTTACTTGTATATAAGTATAGGAATGAAAATCGGTTCGATCATGATTTGATTAATTTATTATACTTGAAAACAGATCACAGAAGTGAAAAGTGGTATTGTTTTAATAAAAGAATTCATTCTTAATGAAAATACGTATCAGGTTCTCCGCACCATCATGACAAATTTCAGAGTTTTCGAAACTTTATTTATTGCAGAAATTTTTTTTCTAATCTCTTAGAAATACTTAATTTCACTTTATGAATTAAGATAATCTATAATAATTTTTAAAGAAATCTTTCTTAGTAACATCTTGAAACAGCATTTTGCGAATATTCCGCTTGACATCTATACTAGAGATGAAGTCGAACCGAACCGAATTTGAAATAAAACTAATCTTATATATATATATATTGATTGATAAAGATTAGTTATATTAGCACTATTTCTATTGCGAAAAAAATTATTATTGTATTATCCGAGAAATGAGATTTTAGTTTATCATAATCTCATGCTCAGACTCAGTATCTAACTCTTAATAATTCTTACATCACATCTTTATGTATACATCATTGAACAATCGATTGAACCATATAATAGTTTAATAACAATTATTATCACTTTTAAAAGCATCCCAGATCGAACAAGCACGCTCGTAAATGACCATAAATTGTCGTATATTGACGTGTTACATGACTTAGTATTACGAACGTATTTCTCCATAAACGATCCTTTAGGAACTTAAAAGTAACCGTTTATGAAGTTCCTGCTCGAAGACCGGATACGACCTCTATTTATCGTAAATAGGTAAGTATGATCGTATACGGTGAAATATCAAGTGTACACAGTTATTTTAGAGTTTGCATGGATTTCATATCCCTCATTTTTGGATAATACTCTTCGGTCAACATTAATCCTAATGCCTAGGTACTCTTTGTCGCCCTATCCAACCATTCATTTCATAACTGTTAGCCATAATCATTTATATCGTAATTACTATAGAGTAACTGTGTTACAGATAGGCATAGGTGAATCACCGTTCCTACACCCTATACTTTTAGTCTATGGAACAACTGATTGCCTTTAAGCAACAATCATGATTATTTTCTTATCTAAAAATTGACTCAAGTTATTTAATCCGATGTGAAGTCTAACATTTATGTAGTTTTTTCTTTCTTGACATACGCATTGATAGATCATGTTTGATCTCGAGAATGGAAATAGAGAAACTATTTGCTCAAACACGACGATAAAATTACATGATCTAACCCCATACAATCTATATTTTTTTTCTATCTTCAATTGCACGTTCCATTTTCTTACAGGTAGTCACTCACACAACAGTCAAATTTTTGTGAACATTGTTGTGTTCTCAAGCTTCGAGTTAATTAAAACGTTCATCAAATGTATGTTACTATATTTTAATAGAGTTGTTTTAGTAATAAGTTTCATAACGACTACTTTTCACTTTCATATTGACTTTCGATTAGTTGATTCCAGTAATACGTAAATATCTTTTGGAAAAAATTTTTTCGTAATAAGTCGTAAAAAAGCCAATTGTTTATCAATCGATATTTCAAGTTTCGCATTGCATTTTGCAGTCGAATAAAACTTAGCCTTATCAGAATCAGAGTTGCCACTTTGTAATGTTCAAAAAACAGAAAATTCAAACTGAAAAAAGCAGAAAGCATTTTTTTTTCATGCCAAACTATATCTCAAGCATTTTCTCACTGTCACGAGAAGAATGTTCCTCACCAGGATCCAATCTTTGTCATGTGAACTCGGGTAAAAACTATTTAACAGATAAATACAATTTGGTGGCACATTTTCTTTCAATGTATATTTTCGTCTGAATTGATAGTTTCCAGTAAGTCATTGATCGATATTCACCGCGTTCATATAATTTAACATCAGTTTACATGGATTTTTCCGTCTACCAAGCGACTGATGACACTGAGTGTGACAATAGAGTTAATCAGCTATAAAAACTGTTGAAAATACTATTCATAACTGGATCTGAAGTTCTGCTTTAGATTGTAGGATTATAGGTTATTCTTATATACTAAAGAAAGAACTCAGATCTTTTCTACATAATAATGAAAGATAACGCGAATCAAATTCCTTCACATGTTTAGTTTTTTTTAGAAACATCTCAGTATTGATGATGTCATTAGTAGAATTCAATTCATTTGGTTCTAGATACGTAGAAAAGCTGATCCATTTTTATACGAAGATAAATTTAAGTCAGCTATGAACATTTTTTTAAAAATCGAATCGATTAAAATTTGTTCCTTTTGTCTCAGATTAAATTATATTCTGTCATGAAGTGCTAGGTATTTGTATTCTTTTCAGCATATCTTCTTGTGTGTTCGGAATATTAAACAGAATCACGAACTGATATGCAGATAAAATATGACTTCTTATATAACAGAAAGTTTAATATCCTGGATAGCAGTATTACTCCTTACGCTTAGCTGTAAATAAAAAGATTACAGCACTATCTGATGTTGGAAATTGAGATTTTATCATTTTTGAATATCTCAGTTATTGTTAGATTAGTTGAACTATTTGTTAAAAACTAATTTAGTGGATTGATTAATCGAGGAAAAACGTGTACTCAAGGTGTACGTGCTTTATTTCGATGCTACAAACTGTTGCACGACACATGATTTTGATAGTCATAGCTCGAACTCTAGAAGGAAAGGACAAGGTAGGTTAAGAAAAGAGTCAAGACGTACCATGAAAATAAGATTTGCGCTTTCTTGTAAAGAGCAGAAAATAGGTTTTGTTTCAACAACGAAGGCTCAGAGTTAGAAGACACATTAGCAAATGGAGATAGCAATATTTCTCACATTTTTAGTGTAATCACTTACCAGAATTCAAGATCGTCGATATAAATTATAAAAAGAAAGACGTTTTTAAAAAAGCAGAAAAACTTTCAAAAAGAAGAATTTTTCTGCTAAAAGCAGAAGAGGTGGCAACTCTGATCAGAATATTATTATTCATAAGCACATGCTTATCATATAATGTGCCAACTATTTGTTATGATATATGTAGTTTTCATTATATTTGTAGCATTGAAATAAATAGTAAAAAAAAA